TTCCCTACAAACTTCAAAACCAACCAAACATAAGAAAAGTAGGAAATATCATATCAACAAAAGTTTTCCTTTTTTCCATGCGAACCAAACACAAGAAAAGTAAATACATTGGTTTCCCATCATTTTTTATGTGTGAACCAAAGCGAAACAATCTATTTCTTAGAAAAGTTTGGAAAACTCAAAAATTATGTTTCGTTACATGGAATTGTATTTCCCTATATTTAGGAAACGAACCAAACAACCCCTTAAAGTCGAGATCTATGTTCTACAACCATCTTTTAGCAATTATTACCTGCCAACTAAGCATAGATAGAGAATAAAAAATAAAAAACCCTAAAATGTCATTATCTCCTCTATTCTTTCATGTTAAATCTAAAAGCGAGTTAAATTAGACTTAACATGAACCGAATTAGACTTAACATGAAAGTCTATTTTATATTAAGTCTAATTCGGTTCATGTTAAGTCTAATTTTATTCATTTTAAGTCAAATTTAAATCATATTATGTCTAATTCAACTTATTTCAAGTCTAATTTAATTCATGTTAACTCTAATTCAACTTGTTTTAAGTCTAATTTCATATTAAGTCCAATTTAATTCATATTAAGTCTAATTTATTTTCTTTTAAGTCTAATTTAAATCATGTTATGTCTAATTCAACTTGTTTTAAGTCTAATTTAATTGGACTTAATATGAAATTAGACTTAAAAGGAATTAAATTAGGCTTAAAATGAACCGAGTAAATCTAATTTAATTCATTTTAAGTCTAATTTTAATCTAATTTAGTGTTAAGTCCAATTTAGTTCATGTTAAGTCTAGTTTGATTCATGTTAAATCCAGTTTGGTTCGTGTTAAATCCAGTTTGGTTCGTGTTAAATCCAATTTGGTTCGTGTTAAGTCAAATTTAAATTATTTTAAGTCCAATTTAAATTGTTTTAAGTTTAATTTAAATCTTGTTAAGTCTAATTTAAATTATTTTAAGTCTAATTTAAATTGGACTTAACATGAAATTAGACTTAAAATAAAATAAAATAAACTTAACATGGATTATATGTTAAGTCCAATTTGGTTCATGTTAAGCCCAATTTGGTTTATGTTAAGTCCAATTCTGTTCATGTTTAAATCCAATTTAAATCATGTTTAGTCCAATTTAAATCATGTTAAGTCCAATTCGGTTCATGTTAAGTTTAATTCGGTTCATATTTAGTCCAATTTAACTCATGTTAAGTCTAATTCAATTTGTTTTAAGTCTAATTTCATGTTACATCCAATTTATTTCATGTTAAGTCTAATTTAATTTCTTTTAAGTCTAATTTAAATAATATTATGTCTAATTCAACTTATTTCAAGTCTAAAAACAAGTTGAATTAGACTTAACATGAATCACATTAAGTCTAATTAAACTCGTTTTAAGTTTAATTTCATAATAAGTCCAATTTGATTCATGTTAAGTCTATTTTGGTTCATGTTAAGTCTAATTCGGTTCATGTTAAGTCTAATTTAATTCATTTAAGTCTAATTTATATTATGTTATGTCTAATTCAACTTATTTTAAGTCTAAAAACAAGTTGAATTAAACTTAACATGAATCATGTTAAGTCTATTTTAACTTATTTTAAGTCTAATTTTAATCATGTTAAATTTTTAAGTCTAATTTAAATCATATTAAGTCTAATTAAAACAAGTTGAATTAGTCATAACATGATTTAAATTAGACTTAAAAGAAATTAAATTAAACTTAACATAAATTAAATTAGACTTGAAACATGTGTCTGACATGGGTTATCTCAACAAGAATTAAATTAGACTTGAAACAAGTGGATTCATAAAAAAAAAGCTTTGGTTGTTAAGTGACATTTTTAAACTTTTTATAGGTTATCTCAACAGGTGCCAGACATGGGTTTGTGAAATTTTTTATCCTTTACAAAGAAAATATTTCACACTTTAATGTGAGAAAAAACACATCGCCGCAGATAGAGTAGTAGGCACTGATAGAGTAATATCCTATTAATATGGAAAATAAGGTGCTCCACTTTGTACCTTAATAAATATCAATTTGCATGTAAAAGAGTGTACCAATTGTAACCGATTTGTTCTTGGCCTTGCCAAAAGATTTCCTAGTGATTTTACCAATGAGACTATACTTGTAGGTGGTCAGATACATCTTGGTACGCATACCTTAGAGGTCACCCCTAGTGAGCTTACATGTATCCTCCAATGTAGCTTAGTCTATAATATCATAAATTAGATCCAATCTTTCACTGTACAAATAAAGTAGAAGATAAACCCAATTATCTAATAACGAGTTACATTTTAAAATCAACTAGGAGATTAACTTGACATTCTACGCAAAACAGATAATTCCAGAAGTAAATCTATGTAAGTCACCCATGTATGGGAAACTAACATGAATCCTAGAAGTCTAACTGCCAAGAGACAATTCCTCATCAATGGTGGGAGTATTCTAAGATCTATTTATTTCCTGAATCCGGAGAACACATTTATGCATTGGTGCCCAGCACCATTACATATTCTCCCACTAGATCTTTTTACTCCCATATAAAATCTTTTGAAACTCTACAAACTAGTCTTTACCCTGTAGATGTAGTCCACACATCCTAAGTTTTTGTTGGGATTATATCTTTGATTCTTTTTATAACTTCATGAGAATTAGACATGGTTGGAGGTCAATCATGATTAGAAGATTATGTCTCATCATGATTAGGAGTTTGTATCCTATTCTCTGTATATATTCTTCTATTGTTAGAGAAAAAAAAGGAGAGGAGAGAGAGATAATATTCTTGTAAACTAGGGTTAACAGAGGTCAACCTGATTCAAGAATATTACGCGAGATGCGTGTGTTTCATAATCTTTGTCCATACAAAAGATTACAATATTAGAAAAGGGTTTTGCAGTCTTTATCTGTTCAAAAGATTGTAAGGAGAGAGCTTTGGAGAGAACATGGGATTTGATTATGTATGTGAGGTTGAGAGATTGAGAGTTAAGTGGTTCTTCTTGTAGTTCTCCCTGATACATAGTGGATTTTCTCGTATTGTTGCCCCATGGATGTAGGTTCTTCTTGAACCATTTTCGGTTTAAGAACTTTGAGATTGGCAATTTAGCTTATTTCAGTTAAAAAGGAATAAATTTTCTTTCTGAAATCAACTCTTTCGTAGAGTTCTTAAACTCGTTTAGAGTTCTAAACTTGCCTTGCAAGTTCTTCCCGATGTTAAGTCAAGAGGAAAAACAAAGTTCCATGAAGTGAAGTGCTTGGAGAGTCAACAGGATACAAGATTCAAGCTCCCATCACTATCGAGAAGAACCCGGTTTTAAATAAAGGAAAAGATCTTCGTCGATTCCTTCTCTCTTTTGTAAATTGGAAAACCGATCAAGAAGATTAAAATTTCTTTTTCTAAGTCAGTTAGAGAGAGATTACAAAGAGAGATTGTATTCATTCTTTTCCTAAGTCGGTTAGGGAGAATAATATAAATATATTTCTCATTCTTCTTTAATTTTTCCTGCAAACAATATTGATAGGATGTACATGTACGACATATATCACTTGCATATTCATCATAATACTTGTATCAATTAAGTTCAATCAAAATTTGATGTCATCACAATACTTGGAACAATTGCATTACGCACATACTTTAACTTTGATTTCATCAATTGATCTCTTACATGAGTCAAGTCTGTTTTTCAATCACTCATTTGTAACAACATACAAAGCCAAACAAATTATAACCAAAACAAGGTACGAAATAACCCTCTTCATCATTCTCATGTTCACATTCTGCAACTCAATTTCACTTTCCATCAAAAATTTTCCCTTCCCAGTTTCAGCAACTCCTGTATATATGATTCAGTTTTAAGAAGGTACAGGTAAAATTTTTCTTTCATCTTGGCAATTTCATTACGAGATTAACTATGCTTCGTATTGGCAATGTCATCAATTGCCAGTTACCCTCAACTCTCTGATTTCTTCTCTTAGAAGTGGAAAGGGTTGAGAAGCAGCCTTACACATAGAAGCGTCAAACCACTTTCAAAGCCAACAACCACCACTCTGATAACATTGAAGAAACACAAATATCATAAAACTATTTTATGTAAGAAAATAAAAAATGAAGAACATACACTGTATTTTGGGCAGCGATAGAACCTCCTCCCTAGATTATCATTTGTCATCGAAGTATAGAACTCACACTCTGATTCGCAACGATAAATTTTCTAACAACATCTCATGCCTGCTTCATTCCATCATCGTATACACTTCAACCTATTGAAACCATGGCTAAAGCTTACAATGTTGCTAATTGAGTGGGAACTAGAGCTTGAAGAGACCAATTTTCGCTCTATTAAGCCCTAATTCAAAGTTCGTTCCTTCAATCCTTAGTTTCATCTCTAATTCTAAAAAGCCCTTATTTTTGAAACCTCCTTCAAGTTTAAATGAAACTAACTACCACGCCATGTCATCATCCATATGCCACATAAGCAAGTAATCTATTAAAACAGACGTTCACGTGCGTGCACATGATAAATTAGCCATTAGATTGATCTCAGGCATCAGAAGTGCCAATTTGTCGTCGTAATTGCCTCTTTTTACTAAACTATCATTGCAGGTATTAAGTTACATATACTGTAACAGATATTAAGTTACATATACTGTAACAAATATTAATATAATAATAATAATAATAATAATAATAATAATAATAATATCATAATATAATAACATTATACAATATTATAAAAAGAAAATACATTATTATTAATAAAAGTTAATCTATTAAAAACAACAACATATATATAATAATTAATTACATTAATATTTTAAAATAGTATTTAAGTATTATAATATAATATATATTACAAATATGTACAATATATAACATTACAATCTATTAGTTAAATATAATATTATAATATATTAATTATATATATAATATTATAATATATTAGTTAAAATAGATTATAATATACTTAATATTTAATATATTAAAAGTATGTTAAATATTAGTGTTATAAAAGTTCAAACTATTATTGTCCAAAAATGCTTACCATGGTGTTTTGGAAACTCTTTTGGAGAAAAACACGATGGTGTTTTGAAAGCACCACAAAAAAATCACCATTATATCCAAGCATACCCTTCGTTTCACATCATTTATGATACTAGACCAACTCTATTTTCACTTCTATATAAAAACTGTAATATCAACGAAAAGTATTATTAAAATTCTCTTAATGTCCTACCCATAATAATCCCATCTTTCACAAACGAACACATTGAGATAGATCATCACTTTACTTGTCATTATTTTCTTAATGGCCACAATTAGTACTTTTCCTTGTGTCTATCGATCTTTAGCTTACAGACCTATTCAACGAAACTCACACAGTAAAGCAACATCTTTTCTTCTTGGTAAACCATCATTGGTAGATTAAAATAAAGGTTAAGGAAATATTAAATATTGTACATAAATAGGCTTATATTTTAGTCTTACGTTGCTTGGAAGCTTCGTTTTCACTTGTCTATATATAAACATTACACTAATATTAACGAAGATTATGATCAACTTCTCCCAATCCTCTGTACTTAACAGTAGCAATATATTTAAGGAATGCAAGTTTACCTGTAACATATATTTCCTATAATTCTGTCATCCCTCTTCATCCCCCATTTCCAAATCGCCTCCCTCTCCCGCATTCACATCTCATACTTGAACCAAAAACCCTCCTTTCTTGAATGCCATTATTAGTTTCTTGCTACCTTAATTAGGCTCTTTTTTCTTTTCAATTTTTTAAAGCACCGGCTACAAGTACTAAGTAAAATGTTTTAATTTTGAATTTAAGTGATGAAATTTTTTCTCAACATAAAAGATTAAGCAAACCGTATTAAAGAATTGGGCAAATATACAACTGAACTGTAAATGTTTAAATTACCATGTGATAAGCTCCATGAGGATATATAGTACCGCTTGTATTAACCTGATCTAATTTTAGATACTCTTTCTTAATTTGGCAAAAGGATGCGCCAGAATTATCTTATTTTTTTAAAATAACAAATTTAAAAATAGGACTGGTCCAAGTCCATTTTCCGATGGATTATGAAGTACAACCTTATTTTAAAATGCCGGGTGTTGACGTGATTAATATGTGAGTATAGTCCCACATCGAATAAGATACGAAAGCGTGATGAGTTTAAATAGGAGTTTGGGTCAATACCTAATAGCTATAACTATAAGACCCATCAACTCTAGATTAAGACCGGTTTGTCCCCCAGCACCAGTACAACATCCGGGTGTGAATTGATTATTTAAACGTTTTTTAAGCACATGGATTAATAAATATTTCCATCATTATTCGATATATAGGTTTACTCTCTAGCTTGATCGTAAAACACTCTATTTATAGCCATGCGCACGATCAAGTAGAGACCACAAATATTGCGGTAGTGTTTGGGCCCAGAGCCCAGCTGCTCCTTTGTACGATAAAAATGCAATTCCACGTCGATACCTAACTTAGTTTTAGGTTGAAGAACTGGACTGATGACAAGCCAACCAATTTCTTCAATTTCAATTTCAATTTTCAATGAGAGCTATGGCTACTCTTAAGTGAATCTGACTTGTTTAATTTAATGATTGTGATTACGTAGTGGTACATTCATTATTTTTTTGATAGTGGAAATTAATGATCCGAATCCCATCACATGAATTTGAATCCTCTCCACTATAAAAAAAAATAGTAATAGAGAGACCACTACTTTTAATCTCAACTATTGATTATTTGGTATAAAGTTATGATATAATCTAAATTTAACATTCACCATACCCCAGTATATTGCACTAATTCCTAATTTGCACTCAAATAAAAAATCACAACCCTCGACTCGATAATTAATAGTTGTG